CCTCCGAAGATAGTTGGCACACTGCCTCGTCGCCCAACTTAGGCCTTCCAGACCTTCCAGAACTGCCAGAGCCTGGTATGGCGCGGAAGACGCCCTCGAACGCCTCTGCAGGACCCAAGGCCCAGTCCAAGTTACCGCAAGCGGCCGCGACACCCACACCCCATAAGAGCAAATCAACCAAGTCGCTCATTGATGACGCCAAGAGTCAAACACCCAAAGACCGCACTCCGATCAAGCCGGCAGGACAGGAGATGCATCCAGCGCATCACCATGCGAGCACAGCCAAGATCCTGGATGAGGCGCGCTGGCTTGGTTTTCAGTCTCTGGGTACCGCGCCATCCAAAGCGACCGGCCTAGCGGGTCAGGCAACGCCCTCGAAGACTCCTGTAGCTGCCTCTTCGATGGCCAATGTTGGGTCATCGCCTGACTTCCGCTTCCGCTTCAAGTCGCCTTTCTCGAAACAAGACGAAGCCACGCTCAGCCCAAGCTCGCGCAACATCCTGAAAGACGCTGGGATCGCGGGCACTCCTGGTGGTGGTAGCCGTGCTCTGTTCGGTACGTTAAAATTCTAGTCAACTCAACCTGTTTTGCTTTTTCTAATCGCTATTTTGATATAGGCACGAGCGAGTGGTCCTCCAAGGTCGATGTGTCTCCCCAGCGCAAGATGGCCGAAGCCAAGGGCAAGATGACTCGCTTCAGCGACGTACATATGAAGCAATTCAAGAACATGGACTCCATCGCGAACCACGCGTCAGCTTTCCGCGCCGACCCGACACGATTCAAGCCCGTCGTAGGCCAGTCGCTCAAGAAGTCGCCTTCGAAACCAGAGCTCGCGAACCCGGAGGCGAACAAGCTCAAGCGTACACAGTCGAAAGCGGATCTGGCGGAGCCCAGCTCGAGTGCCGCTGGAGGTCTAAAGCGCACACAGTCGAAGATGGACCTCGCAGGATCTGGCAGCAAGATTCCCCCAACCCCGTTGAAGCGCACTCAATCCAAGATGGACCTCACCGGATCTGCTCTGCCACGCTCCCAGCCACCAGCTCGCATGGCTCCTCCTACACGCGATGGACGACCGGCATCCCGCGATGGCGATGGCGACCGTAACCCGGTAGCTAAGCGTGTCAAGCGCACCGAATCTGACGATGCTGCCACCACCCGTCCTGCGTCTCGCGAAAAGGTGCCCGATTTCCCAGCCCGCGCAACTGCTACTCCGGCACGCAAGAAGACATCTCAGACTGCACTTCCTCGTCTAGCTGCGCGTTTGATGACGCCTACCAAGTCGTCTATCGCACGTTCACAGAGCGTCAAGACTCTGAAGACGACATCGATGATTCCAACTCTAGGAAAGTCGCCTTCCACGAACAACCAGGGAGCTTCGCCATCTGTCAGCCGCAGCTTCGAGTCGTCCTCTGCCCGTAACACTTTCTCTCCTCCCAGCAACATTGGCCATCTGCAGACTTTGAGGGACAATGCACGCGAGAGCATGCGCAAGGTACGTTCAAGCATGGACGTTTTTTTTTAAAAGTATCCACTAACATCAGCAGGCAAGCAGCAACCTGCAGCGTGTCCGGTCAATCCTTCGTACGCCAAACCGCAAATTCTCGGACGATCCTAGCAAAGTCGCGGCAGGCACTCACATGTCACCTCCGACCATGAGCCTCGACAAAGCACCGTCTCTCGTTCCTGCTACAGCTCCTGTGAAGAAGCAAGTCAACTTCAGCAGTAGTACTTTGGAGCGTGCATCGCATGACGAGCTGGGTAAATCACCATCGCCGATGAAGTTTAGGGCAGGCAGTGAAGTGCCTGCTGGTGCTGTGATCTATCCTAGTCTCGGCTCAGAAGCACACAATGGCCCAGATCTTTCTCAAGAGATTGAAACTCTGACCGCTTCTCCATCTCGTCGCCTCACATTCGGTGGCGAAGCTCCTAATCATCCACGTTCCTTTTCCTTCGAGTCCGGAAACACTGTAAACTTCGGTACGTCACGTCTTGCCTCTCATTACTGACAACTCACTAACTTTCTTAGGCCCTGTATCGACTGGCACGATCCGCATGGTACGTCAGAGCGATGCATCTTCTCTTGTCGACGGCACAAAGCGCAAGCTGGAGACCCTCCAGGAGACATCCGACAAGGAGAACGATGGACCCAATGACGACGACACGCGCTCCAACAAGAAGATGAAGCGGACACCTGCACCCGCTCCAAAGGCCCCTGCCAGCGCAAGCAAGCCAGCTCGCCACACCCCAGGACGTGCGGGTGCTATCAGCAAGTCAAGGCTCGCCTTCCTTGCTACGCCCAAACGAAGCAGGGCGTAAGCCTGCTTGTCTTGGTCGGAGGATGTGGTCCCACGTTATTCAAGAACAAACCTGAACACCCGAGAGCCTACGTTGACGTCAGACCATCTACTTTGTGTGTTCGCATCTAGATGTAGGCTCCAGATCTGCTCAGGCTTTTTCTTGTATGAGGTGGTCACGTTGAGGTGTGTGTTCGTCACAAGCTGTGGCGGACATGCATCATCCATGCTTCAGCGGGCATTTGTTCCCAGTTCACTCTTCAGCCATTTGCTGGCGTACTTGTCACGATGCTTGTGCATCGCCTCATGACTCACGATACTTCCTTCTTGTCCAATCTTTGTTCTTTCTCACTTCATAATTGGCATCGGGGCGTAACGGTTCTCCAGGCATAAACCTCAAAATCTTTCCTTTTGTTTCTGGATCTTACGTGTCCGATGGACACTGATCATTACGAGAACGGTACACACGAACAAGCCTAGCTTGTGTATTATACTGAATCAACGATTGCATGACTATTCAAACTCTCAGCAAGTGATGTCACGTTAACCTAAGAAAAAGCCGAATACCCCAGAGCCTACATCGACGTTTGGTTGCCAACTCTGCATGTGTGAATCTTAATGTAGTCTGGTAACCTGTTGGTCTTTATCTTGGGCAGGGTGTATGTGTATTGCGTGTATGCGAGGCTGACTGAGTGGAAGGCATGTGCACTCAAGTGGGTCGATGCGGCGGTCGGAGCTTCCGTACCAGTCGCTCATACATTTGGCCGATCAACATTCACACCGCCTACAGCAGCCCCCCACTACACACACACAAGGGCTTTTCTGGCAGCTTACTACGTCATTCGCATACGCGCGGACTGCTTACGGCCTGCTACACTGGCAGGGCGAGTCTCACACCACCACCGTGGCGTCGCTCAGTAACCTGGTCGACGAATTGAAGAAATCCTTCAACTTCCTCGACTCTCAATCTCTACTAAGCTCCACGACAACTTCTTCGTCAGGCGACACTGAAAACCAACACACAAACGCGCTATCAAAAGTGTTGCGCTCCCTCCAGCACCGCGGCTTCAACGACGTCGCCGAGTTCCTCACGAATCCTCGCCTCGACGACCCTACCTACCTTACCACCCTTGCTATCGCACTAGCCTCCGTCATCGTCACCATGTCCTGGTTCTCGCGCACTGGCGGAAATTGGGGAGGACGCTTCTCGCCATTTGGGCGTCCAGGCAACTCGCCGAACGCCGGCGTCGTCAACGACTCTGACTTTTCTTACATCACCAACGAAGACCTACGACGGAATGGTCAAGCGCAAGCGCCCGAGATCGTAGACTGGGATGACAAGAACCCAGAACGGGAAACAGATGTTCTCATCTTCAAGAACGGGCGCACACATTACCCTACACACTTCCCCGCGCACAGCATACGCGATGGAGACCTGAAGATTGGTACAGTTCGACAAGCGGCAGCAAAGAAGCTGGGCGTCGATGACCACAGGCGCATACGCATGTTCTACAAGGGCAGAAACCTGAAGCACGACGAGCGGACCGGACGGGAGGAAGGCCTCCGGGGCGACGGAACCGGTAGTGAGATTCTAGTCACAGTAGGCGAAACCCCAGTCGGTGGCCTAGCACCTGGATCAGAAGACGCACCACAACACGCATACAGCGAAGGAGAGGACGACGATGACGACGAAGATGACGTCGACTCTGGCGCGAATACCACGGGCAAGAAGAAGTCCCGTAAGCGCGGCGGCAGGAAGAGCAAGAAGAAGGGCGCCCCCTCGGCAAACGCCTCTGGCACCTCAACACCCGGCTACACAACTGGCGGGGCCGGCGCAGAATACCTCCCTATCCCCTCGCATATCAACGCGGCACCGCGCCCAAGTCCCACTCCTCCCCCCGCCAAACCCGCCGAGCCCCAGACCCCAATCGGCAAACTCGATACCATCGCCAGCAAATTCCACACCGAGTTTGTACCCATGTGTGTGCAATTCATGGCCAGCCCGCCAGAAGACAAGGCGAAGAGGACATTTGAATACAAGAAGCTGAGTGAGACTATCTTGACCCAGATCATCTTCAAGCTGGATGGTGTCGAGACGGAAGGTGATCCAGAGGCTAGGCTCAAGCGCAAGGCTCTCGTCAAGGAGGTCCAGGGCATGTTGACAAGGCTGGATGAGGCCGGAAAAGCAGCTTAAGCTGTGGTTGCAGACGAGAGGAAACAAGCTCGGGCACCTTTACGTGATGCTGTGAGGCGAGGAACTGGGTTCGTTAATGGAGATGTGCACGTGTATGCTCTTCTTGCTGTCGCTCTACTTTCTTCTCGGGTTTGCATTAGTGATAGATACCAAGGAGCATCTAGCGAGCGATGCTGATGAGCGGCTAGCGATCGATTCGCGTATCAACATCAACGAAACTCTTCGCTCTATTTTTTTCTTGTGTGAAGTGTCCGATACCTGCATTATCATTCTTTGTATCACCCTCTAGGTTCCGTCTGCCTCTCTTTCGCCATCCTTTGTCTTACGCCTTGTCAAGATTCCATTGTGTTTATGTCTGTCTGGCTCCTGCCTGCATTTGGAACGCCAAGGGCGAGCTACATTACCAGATGACTTTTCGCATGCATCTTGCACATGAAAAGCAAATCTCAAGTTCGAATGCACTGTGAACTACGTCGCTCGTTGGCCATTAACGACTCGCAAGACTACGCACCATGAGCACGAAAGTCAGCCACCAACCTCTTCGAAGTCTCGACGAAGCACTTGCTCGAAATGGTCTCCCGCTTGTAGAATCCTCCCAACTATTGTCGTCGACATCCATCGATGCTCTGGATATTATAAAAGTCCCCCGTTTTAAGGCAGCCTCCTACATTACTACCGGGTTTGATCGTGTCAGCAGCAGAGGTACCGACAATCTCATCTCTCACGCCATCCCAATCGGCAACTGCGCTAGAGTTCTTGAAGCCGTTAATGAGAACCGGACACTTAGCAAATCTGAGATCAGGTCAAACAACTATCCTCGCCGCTGGTCGGTTGATTGCTCGGCCTATTCCAGGGGAGGAAATGTGTTGTCAACCAAGAGTGACAGGCATCACGAAGCGCGCAAGTATGACAGTGTCTTCGAAGACACTGATGCGTTCAGGGAAGCAGAAGCTTTTAGTAGGAATACCTACACGGGTATTCAGCAACTAGGCGTCTTTGATCGCAACTACACTCCTTCCGCAAAGCCCAGCTATACTGTCCTTGAAACCGCAAACGCGTCGATCGATGAATCTCAGTTTCTCCACTTTCTTACTCTCGGGCCCGATGACGGTTGGTTTCACGACAGTCATATAGACACATCTCTGGATATACTGGAGCGAGCAGCTAACTGCCAAAAACATGGGATCGCAATCTGTCGTGTTGGTCAGGGAGCCGAGCTCTACACCAGTGTGAGGAAGGGGCAAGAACTTCAAAACCAAGAGGGAGTCTGGTTTGACAGGCTGTTAGTTGAGAAATGCAGGGACAAAGACTTTATCTTGGTACCGATTAGCAACGGGTACAAAGATGTTTACGAGACAGGCGTGGAACTTGAACGTCAGCATGGAGCGGCCAAGACGAACCTCATCGCAGAGCCTACTCTTCCTGAACAAACCGCAGGCAACCATTGGTCCCTTCTCCTCGTCGACTGCCGATCCTCCATCATCAAAGGCCGGTACTTTGACTCGAGCTACTACGAATCCGCTGGCCTTTCACGTCACTACGGAATCGAAGAGTCGAACATTTGCAAAGCTGCCATGATGACCTTATCCGGTGTACGAATGATGCTCAACCACGTCCAACCGGGACGGTTCGACGAGGACGAGTTTGTGTTTGACATCGATACACACTGCCCAAATCAAGCACATGAGAATGTCAGCGGCAACAAAGACGGCAATGGTGCTTGTGGCCCTTTTGTGTGGGAAATGAGCAAGGAAATCACACAATACATCGCCGACTGTCGTGAAGACCACGACTTTCCCGATGATGGTCAAATCAATCCTTGTTTACCAGGCGGTTACCAAGGCCGCAGAAACTGGGACTCGGCGAGGACGCGCAAGGCGATCTGGAATCTTGTGTTGAGAGAGTTGAGAACGCGGAAGTGGCTGAATCGTACTCCGGAATGGATGAATAGTGTGGGAGGGAGGGGTTCCACGCCGGGGGATGGTATGGCAGGGTGGAACTCTTAGTTGAAAGGGAAGGCATTGGATGAGATGACTTTTTGGGATCCATGGGGACTGGAGAGTGAGTTGGCGCCTCAGTTTGGGAGGCCGATGACAGTGAGTTCATAACCTTGACTCCCTTTACATACTTCTGGAATGTATAGTGCAAAGACGAGTGCTCACGGGACATGCAAAATCTCCCAAGGTACCGGGTCTGACTTGGCTACTACTTGGTGATTGCGAAAGTTGAGGACAGTATGATATAACCTGTGGAATCGCCATAAGCTATGGAATTAGGACGACTGCTTAGGATTCTAATTTTGAACGCCATGCCACGGATCCCAAAAATAATCCGCGGTTATCCACTCCTTCCTGGCCGCCAGCCAATCTTTCCACCCGGGCTTCCCATCTGCTTCCCACCAGTCATGCGTATCATTAATCCAAACCCTCGATCTTCTTTCTCGTTCCAGCAGGTTCTTCATGCTTTTTCGCGTCGCCCCCGAATCCCAACACCAACGTTGCGCAAAGCCAGTGGGTAAGGTGATATCGATGTCAACGTGTCGGCCTAGACGCTGAGCGTCTTCATGACATTCGACGATATACTGTACCATGTCTTTCGCGAAAGCCCATACAAAAGGCCCACAAGCGCCGCCCCCATCAGCGTAGCACCTGTTGTGGAGCTTTTGGTTTGGGCAGCGTGGTTCTCGGTGGAGGTTAGTGTCAAGCGTGGCTTGGTCGATCTTGTAGTCTGGTCGCGTTTCCGCATATATCCTGCTGAAACCACGGAGAAGCACCATAGCCGCTTCGAAATTGCTCGACGTGCCATCAGAGTCATAGTGTCGTGCATGGAGGACCGGCTGGTGACAGTCAATGATCATCAAGGTCCAGTGTGTACCGAGCAAACCATCATTATGCTCTCCTGCGTGCATTTTCTTCCACCCGTTGCTTACTGGAACGATGACAAACTTGTTCGTCCCTATCGTCTTCTGCAGCGCTTTCTCGGCTTCTAAAGTCGCCTCCTCATCTCGGCCAATTGTGTACAATTGCCAAGCGAAAGGCGTACCGAGAATGGCAATGTCGTGATATTCGCAACCAAGTATACGATAGATGGCATCAAGACCAATATCCAGAATCTCATCAAGGAACCAGTTACCGATGTGGTCGATCTCGCCGAAGTGCTCGTTGCGAACCTGAGCCCTCTCCGTTTCGAGGTATGCCATATTCTTAGCAGACTCTAGCTCATTAGTACTGAGACTATGCCTTTGAAGAATAGGAACTCTTTCCACGACATCATCTACTACTCCAGCATCGTCGTTGCTCAAGTGAGGATCTTGCTCATCTGGCGTTTGGTACAAGTCAATAGACCATCGTCGGCGCAAAAGAGGAACTGTTTGGGCATTTCCACATGCCCCATCTATTTTATCGTCGCGATCTTCCGTCAAAAGAGCGCCGGACCGAGTGGTGTGCGTGTGCCGTGTGCGAATGCGCTCGGTCGATATAGACTCGTCCAGATCGATCTGGGAGAGACCTTTCGTACCTAAGAAATCATCCAGTATGTGTTGTTCGCTTTCTACAAGCGCTCCGGATGAGCTCTGGATCTTTTGGAAAAGATGTCTGCGTTGGTCCGCCATCGTTGAATCCTTCTTTTCCTCTTCAACGACAGAGGTGGTTTGAGGCACAAGGCCGAAGCCACAGTCGTGGGATATACACCGGAAGCCTTTGAGTATGCTGGAGAGCATATAGCCATTGTCTAGACGGCTTTTGTTGGCATTGTTGTGATGTCATCAGCTTTGTGGCTGTACGACCCCTTGATCACTAAACAAAGAATGGGTGAGTGACAAAACGCCAATGAGTGATTGAGTGTGTACAAACCCAATGATGGTACATGGCGAGGAAGTAGTCAAATGGTTCTGCTACATGCTCTTCGCGTAGCTAGTCTATGCAGAAAGGACAGCCACGTAAACTAAGGCAGCTGGCACCCACGACGTTGGAATAAGGATCTCATCTTCGACGTTGGATTAAAGTTCGAAACAGCGATGAAAAGCCCTCCGTGGATCTGAGCTAGGATTATCAGCCGTCGGCCTGTGCTACACTAAGGAAGAGGAGTCAGTACCCAGGAGACAAAGTGTCGGAGTCGGAGTGGGTGTATCGGTCTCGGTCTCGGGATCACCCTAGCCTTTTTCGTTCGGTAGACGTTCGCCCGAGCCCGTCACAGAAACTGACTAGAGCACCCGAGCATCTCCCGCTTTTCAAAATGCCCTTGTTTTGTGCATACGCCACCTTGTGGAGACTGTTTTACCTTGTCTACGGGTCTGTCCTGGCTCTATGTGGGTGGAGCCTGTTGACGGCGTGTCAGTAACCACGTGGGACCGCGCCATAGCGGAGGCGACGATCACGTCATGCTAGGATCCGTGGATGATGAGTAAACAGTGCTTGTGCGACTTAGGCTAAAGGTATACAACGCTTGTTAAAGCGTGACTCTGACGAAAAGGTATGTGGTAGGCGCGCCCCACTGGGCCGTGCCATATTCGCTTTTAATTGCTCGACTTGACTACTTCAAAGACCAGACGCCATTCTCCTCGATGATTTCAATCGGTCGGTTTTCATCGAGCGATCTTCTGCCTGCCTCAAGAATTGCGGTGGTCGCGATAGTGTTCTTCAGGGTTGGGAGGGGCCGCGCGTCTAGCTGTTCGAGTGTGACCTCGCCTGCGTTGAGCTTGTTGACGGCATCAACGAACTTCTCAAAAGAGATGTATCCGTAACCGATCTGGCCTGCGAAGTTGCCCTCCTCATCGGGAGCGTACTTCATGTAAAATCTGTAGGTGGTTAGTACGCGAAGTGATGACTTTGCGATGTTTGAACTCACGGGTTGTACCAGAGGAGACCACCCTCGTCGTCAGTGACATCGTAACCTCGCTTGGCCTGGTTGACGCGAATCTCCCCTGTAGATGCCATGTAGTGGAAGTACTGATTCGAGTGTACACCGGCTTTTTGAGGCGCTGCCCAGCCAGCTGTGTAAACACCTGTTCCGACCTTGCTAGGGTCATCCTTCTTCACCCAGTTGGTGAGCAGTGTGATGGTATCCTCGGTAGCAGGATCGCAGCCCAGTCCTGTTGCAATGCCCTTTGCAGCACTAGCCATGACGCGTACTGGCTTCCAATCTGGGATCATGGACTCGTTGATGTCGATGTGGTGAGAATTGAGGTAGTAGGAGATATCAGAGTCGATACCTGCCCAGGCTTTGAAAGTCTCCAGTTGGCTCCTGATGGATATGTTAGCAAATAAAGTCTTCGATTCAGTAGGGTTGAATGTACTTTGGCTGGCTCATGTAGGAGTAGAAATAGTTGAAATCGCCCAGCTTCTGCGCCCGGAAACGCGCATCAGCATACGCAGGGTCATATCGCTTGTGGTGCTCAATGTAAACGAAGACATTGTGTTTCTTCGCGGCTGCCAGAAGCGCCTGGTGATGTTCCAGGAGCTTCACCGCGGGCTTCGTGATGAGGACGTGGATTCCGCGTTCGATGGCGTACAGAGCGATCGGGTAGTGAGTGGTGTCAGGTGTGAAGATGGTGACTATGCAACGTCAATTAGAGGAGGGAGTTGAGCGGGCATATGTTGCAACTCACTGGCACTGCCCTTCGGGAGCGCGTCAATCGCTGCTTTGTACGCATTCGGATCGGTTTTGCCTTCTTTTGGGAATTCCTCGAATGACACGTCCAAGTTGTTGTATGCCTCCGAAATGTTCTTCTGAAGATGTTCGCCTGGCAAAAGTCAGCATGCCAGACATAGTGAAACCATGCAGATGCTGTGCGACTTACGGATTGCGGGGAATTTGCCGCCTGATGTGCCAACCATAGACAGCTTGCCCACTTTGCCGCGTCTTCGGAGGTCGAACAGCGTCAATCCTACAACACCGACCTTCTTGTCCGACTTGGAGGCGCCCCCTCCGACGAATCCTGTCGTGTACTCTCCAGTACCGACCTGGCGTGCAATTAGCATTGACATGCGACGCGCCGCAGACGTGAGGGGCAACGTACCATGAGTACTTCTACTGGCGCCATGTTGACTTTAGTTTTGCAGGTCTGAGAAAAGGTCCAGATGATGAAGAGGATTGGCAGCTACTGTCCTGGTCTCGAGCAAGATGAGACGAGACGAGAGCTGGAATTGAAGGGGATGCGCTGCTTCAATACCCGACACAGCTTCGTCGGCCTTTGACCACTTATCGATAGCGACGGAAGATATATGACCCAGCAACGCGATGAGGGGCACGAGGCCTCACGCGTACTGCCGGCAGCCGCGGCCGGATGACGTTGCATCATTCGAGGCCTTGGTCATGGTGGGGGCTGTGTCTTGCTCATCGCGGCGGTTTGCATCTGTTTCCGATGGCCGTGGCGTCTCCAAGCCGTCGAGGACGCAGCGAGGCTCGTCTCGACATGGCGGAATTGTCTTGGAGTAATTCCTTGGGGTACGCGTGGTGGCTGGCGTTTATTGCGTTCCGAGGGGTAACGAGGTTCCCCAGAGGCCAAGCAAAGAGCGACACTGGCTTCCCCCACGCGTGTCCCCACCTGCCATTGGTGGAAGAATGCCACGCCGTCCACGACAGCCATGCTGTGCCACTATGTTCGACAGCTAACCCTGCCCCAGGTGCAGCTCTATCCCATCAGACAACCGCCGAATTTAGTCACTCCCATAGAAAAGGCCGCAGAATGTCCCGCATTTCGCCCAGTGGTGTCCCGAACTCGCCAGATGGCCCACAGCCCTGCACCCAACCTCCAGTCTAGCCTTCGCCGTTGCGGTCCTTGGCGAATCAAACATGACCATTTGACGAGATCTTGAACGGTAGAGCCACTGAGACACGCCAGTCCATGTGGGATGGAGAGTGAGCTCTGCCGAACTTAGCTCCTCTGACCTACTTTGCGCCGATTACCTCCATCTCGCTGCTATATTAAAGCTGACCGAACCCGTGCTTGCATCATCTTTATTGTTCGCCCCTTCCTCTCTCCCGAAACTTCCGTACTCATATATTACTTACCTTGCTCCTTTCCAGTCTCAATTCTTCTTGATTATACATACCACAAAGATGGCATCCAACGGAAACGGGGCCAATGGCCACTCCAAAGAGCGTACTCCTCTTCGGCCTGGCATTTACTCGCCCACGATGACGTTCTTTGACCCCGAGACCGAGGAGCTAGATATCCCTACTATCAAGAAGCACGCAGTACGACTTGCTGAGGCTGGCCTTGTTGGTCTCGTCACCATGGGATCCAACGGAGAGGCTGTCCATCTGTCACGGGCTGAGAAGACCGCTGTCACGCGAGCAACTCGTGAGGCCCTCGACGAGGCTGGCTACCAAAATGTCCCGGTCATTGTCGGAGCTTCTGAACACGGCATAAAGCTTACCATCGAGCTGTGCAAAGAAGCAGAGGCGGCGGGTGGCGAGTACGTTCTTACTGTCCCTCCCAGCTATTACCGCTATGCCATCGACGAAGACGCCATTTACGAGTACTTCACCAAAGTGGCAGACGGCTCACCCCTCCCGATAATCCTATACAACTACCCAGGGGCCGTTGCCGGTATCGATATGGACAGCGACCTCATCATCAAGCTTGGAAAGCACCCAAACATTGTCGGTACCAAGTTTACATGTGGCAACACCGGCAAACTTACACGTGTTGCCCTTGCTACCAACGCCTGCACAATGAAGAGCGAAGGCAGTGGCTACATGGCCTTTGGTGGCATGGCCGATTTCACCGCTCAGACTGCTGCTAGTGGCGGATCAGGAATCATCGCTGGTGGTGCAAACGTCCTGCCGAAGACATGCGTCAAGGTCTGGAACCTATGGGCGGAAGGCAAATATGACGAAGCCATTGAACTTCAGAAGGTACTCAGCAAAGGCGATTGGGTTCTCACAAAAGCAGCTATTCCTGGAACCAAGTCAGCACTCCAGTCGTATTACGGCTACGGCGGATACCCCCGTCGGCCACTCAAGAGGCTTCCGCAAGAGAAAGTCGATGCAGTTGCAGAGGGCATCAAAGAAGTTATGGAGGTGGAGAAGAAGTTATAGTTGCTTTCAGTTGTGTTTCCTTGCGTTCATGATTAGTTGCGCTGCTTTATCTCCGCACATGTTTGTTGACATTGGGGGGCAAAAGCGTCTGTCTGCATTTACGATGCTTCCGTTGTCATGTACAGCCGTACCTCAATAGATATCCTACTTGGTTGT